GTGGTCTTTAGTACCTTGTGACCTGGCAAGTGACTTGGCCTTTCTGAACAGCATCTGGTCATCTATAAAAGGGTGCAGAGTAGCAATAACTACCCAGTGAGGGTTGCGGAAAGGATCAAAGGAAGCAACACTTAAACTTACATATTTGCAAATTCGAGTTGGTCCAGACCTTGTAGATGCTGCGCTGCTTTGGTCGCTGGGTTTTCCAGTCCACTAAACATTTAGTAAGAAATAATAATACATAAATTGGATATAGAAAACGTACAGTATTGCTGTATTGGGGTGAGGTGGGGGGCAAGGCATTCAGTACTAGGTGCTACTTGAAACTGGCCAACAGCATCTTCAAAAACAAAACAAACTTATTTGCCCCAAGGTTGTGCATCACTGAGGACTTTGTGCAATTATTAAATCTGAAATACCATTAGTACTTTTTATGGACTATATAAGAACTGAATTGAAGTTCAGATACTTAGAATGCTCATTGAATTTTCTTTTCTTTTCTTTTTTTTCCCCCGAAACAGGGTTTCTCTGTGTAGCTTTGGAGGTTGTCCTGGAACTCGCTCTGTAAACCAGATTGGCCTGGAACTCCCAGAGATCTGCCTGCCTCTGCTTCCCGAGTGCTGCAATTAAAGGTGTGCACCACCCACCAACGCTCAGCAAATGCTCATTTAATTTTCAAAGGAAATGTGTATTCCCTCATTATTAACAAAGTCAAACACACTGAATTTAGGAGTTCGGAAGGAAAGAGTACTGCAATTACAGACACTTCAGTCTAGATGTCATTCCCGGACATGGTGTCATACACCTTTAATCTCAGATTTGGGAGGCAGAGGCAGGCAGATCTCTGAGATTTAGGCCAGCTTGACCTGTAAAACCAGTCAGGGCTACACAGTGAGAACTTGCCTCAAAGTAAATAAATAAACAGAATATGTATTACATCATTATTGGAGTGAGTGACTAGACTTAGAATATAGTACAGTATTGAACAGTAGTCATCAAAAGAGTGGAAGATTTTAGCCAAGAGTAGAAGAGCATTTTTATATTTAAAAAACAAAATCCTTGAAATGCAATGCATATCAAAACCTGGAGGTAGAAGCTTGAAATCTAAAAGTTTTTTTTTCTTCTTATTGTTAAATGACACCTGGGTGTTGGTTAAAGGCTAATAAGCCAATAGGTTAAAGGTGCTTGCCACAAAGCATGAGCTAACTCATGAAAGTTGTATTTCACTTCCACATGAACAGCCATGGCACGTGCTCACTCATGCATCCTCCCCAGGGGATCAGGTAATAAGAATAATTTAAAATTCTTTAAAAAGTAAATGGGTGTTGGGACCCAGCCCCCACAGGGTCTCCGTGAGTTGTTTTCCAGCATAACCACAGGTACCTCCTGTTTTCTTGGCCTCGCCCACTAGCATCAACATCCTGTTATGAACCTGTCTTGTTTTGAAACGTTATGCCTTGCCCCTATCCCCTTCTTGTTTCATTGGCAGTGGGTGGGGGTTGTGGTTTCCTTGTTTTTGATAGGGCGTGGGAGTGTGTTCTTCTAGCAGGTGGTGTTTTTTCATCTCCTCTTGTTATATAAACTACTGGCTGCAATAAACCCATGACATTCGATTCTATCGAATGACCCAAGTTGTATCCTTAATCTGCAGACTCTGCCTGGTCTGGTTCTTCGGGTGCTGGTGACAATTGGAGGTCTCACTGAGATCAGGGAAAGCAGAGGCATCCTGACAGACCACTCCTAATGATTGTTAGGAGGAGCGCATTGGGGTTGACAGTGCCGAATTGAAAGTAAGTAGCGCTACTGTCATTGGTAAGTGACTCAGAATGGGGATTTCAAGTTCCTTGTTACTTTTGCAGGACCAACTCACTCATTTTTTGAAACAGCAAGGCGTAGGCATTAAAGCAAAGACAGTTCGAAGTTTTATTGGGGCCTTAGAAAGGACTAGTCTCTGGATTTTGACTAGTGGGGGATTAAACATTCCCGATTGGGAACAAGTAAAGAGTGATTTACAAAATACTCTTCAGAAATAAGAGCCAGATGGAGTGTCTATGTCAGTCTTTTCCTTATGGAGATTAGTCAAGGATGCCCTCTTGAGTAAGAACGTCGAGGTTAAGGAACAAATATCAGAGAGAGAGAAAACCTTTGCAACCGCACAAGATGACATTTCTCATCAATCTCTTGCTAAGGGATCTGAGTCCAGTGATAAACAGGATGAGAATGAGGATCATTCTGAGGAAGAAAAGGAATTGGAAGAGGAAATTAAAGATTTACAAAAACAGTTAAGGGAGATTCGAATGAAGAAAAAACTCAAGAGCATAAAGAATAAACCTTGCCCTCTGTCTGCATCTGCTCCCCCTCCCCCCAATGCTTATGAGGATTATATTCCTTGCATCCCTGATCCTGCTGCTTCATCTCCCAGAGGGGTAGTTTTTGGGAAGTCATTGGGTTATAGAAGTCCCTGATCTTAATAATCCAGGACAGGTGATGTGGCAGCATGTGCCCCTTAACTTTAAGGAGCTTAAACAATTGAAAGAGGCTGTCTGCAGTTATGGCCCTTTGGCTCCATTCACAATAGCTATGATGGAGACCTTCTCAGCATTTAATCTTACCCCGAGTGATTGGCAACAGCTTGGTCGAGCAACGCTTAATGGAGGAGATTATTGTTGCATCAAGGGGAATTTCAGAAGGCATGTATCACCACAGCCAAAATGAACACACAGGCAGGTTTTCCTCAAAGAAATGTTGATATGCTTACTGGGAGGGAGGGTCTCTTAATTGTTCTTCCAGATTCTGCAAATTGACTAATTACTGGGGAGCTAAAGACTCCATGGTGTTGGTGCCAGTTCCAGGAGTGATTCCATTGCTGGTGAATTCGAGCATGGGGTTTCCCCTAACCTTCTGTCGAGAAAAAGTGATTTTGAAATTACCCTTGCTATTGTGACCACTATTACTGCAGCTGCTACTGCTGCTACAGTTGCTGGTGTAGCCCTAATGCAGACAACTGCTATTGTTAGACCCTCGGAAAACTCAAGTATCCAGGGTCCCAGGCCACGTTCGCGGTCACCCCAATCACCAAGCGGAAGGGAAGCTGGTTCCTTCACTGTTGCTGCCACCTTGGATCAGCTTTTTGGAGAGTTGCATCAGCTCTGTCACTTCAGAATGCTACTAATAGATATATACAACTTGGACTTTTAAATTTAAATCAGCAAATAACTTTATTACAAGAACAACTGGATTATGTTTGGGAGGTTCATGCAGTAACCTGCGCTTTTGAATATTGTGCCATTAATTTGCCTCATAAAGTGGCATATTTATCTTATAATGTAAAACAACAGAATGCCTATCTTAAAGGTCCTTGGAATGATACTTTTGTAAACTTCATGCATGTCACTGGCTGCAGATAACCCTTCTGCACAAGTCTGCTTTAGCCTCTTTGACAGATAGCTACCTATGACAGGCAACTTTGCTGTATCATTTCTACCTAAGACAGAGGTCACGAAGACTGGCATGATACTCAGGGATGGGTAAAGAAGTTGTTTTGATATGGGATTGAACCTAAGACAGGTGCTTTCTAAAAACAAAAATGGGTGAGATGTTGGGACCCAGCCCCACAGGGTGGCTGTGAGTTGTTTTTCAGCATAACCACAGGTACCTCCTGTTTTCCTGGCCTTGCCCACTAGCATCAACATCCTGTTATGAACCTTTATTGTTTTGAAACATTATGCCTTGCCCCTATCCCCTTCTTGCTTCATTGGCTGTGGGTGGGGGTTATGGTTTCCTTGTTTATGATAGGGCATGAGATGGTGTTTTTCCATCTCTGCTTGTTACATAAACTGCTGGCTGCAATAAACCCATGGCATTCTCTTCTATCGAATGACCCGAGTTGTGTCCTTCTTAATCTGCAGACTCTCGCCTGGTCTGGTTCTTTGGGCTCTGGCACTGGTGACAAATGGGAACTAATAATTGTATATATTTCTGGGGTACAGAGCAGCATTTCAGTGCATGTATACAGCATGTATTTGTGATCAGGTTGGAGGAATTGATAGACCTCTAACCAAGATATATCATTTCTTTGTGTTGGGAGCATTCAAAATGTTCTATTAGCTGTTTTTGGTTATTTTGTGAAACACAGTTTTTCTACTAGGCTTTAAAAAATTAACTCTTCCTTTTGGCTGTATTCCATACCCATTAAATCATCCTGTCTATATCTTTCCTCCCCTGCACTCCTCTTGAGCTATGGTATCCCACTTTTCTTTTTTGTTGTTGTTGCCTTGTTTTTTCAAGACAGGGCTTCTCTGTGTAGCTTTGGCTGTCCTGGAACTCACTCTGTGGACCAGGTTGTCCTCAACTCACAGAGATCACCTGCCTCTGCCTCCCTGAGTGCTGGGATTAAAGACCTGTGCCACCACCTCCTGGTACACTATTCTTTATCTTTGAGATTAACTTCATGTGTGAGATATGAGATAGTACCACCAAAAGTTAGGGTGAGACTTCCCACCTCAGTTAACATAGTCTGAACATAGACATTCACAGAGGTTTGCCTCTTAGGTGGCTCTAAATCCATACTCTTTTTTTTTTTTTTTTTTTTTTTTTTTAGATTTTGTTTATTTATTACATATACGGTCTATACAGTCTTCTGCCTGCATGCCAGCAGAGGGCACCAGATCTCATTCAAAGTGGTTGTGAGCCACCATGTGGTTGCTGGGAATTGAAGTCAGGACCTTTGGAAGAACAGTCAGTGTTCTTAACCGCTGAGCCATCTCTCCAGCCCCTAAATCCATACTCTTGACAGTCAGGAGTAACTACAACAGCAATGTTGACTATTTTTCATATGCTTTTTGACTGTTTGTATTATCTCCTGAGGAATTACTATTCAAATCACTTGCCCTCTTTTAATGGGATTATTTGGGCTTTTCTTGTTGAACCTTTTGAGTGCTTAATACAGTCTAGAAATAATCTGTTGTTGGAAGAATAGTTTGCAAGTGTTTTTCTCATTGTCAGTGTTTTGCTTTTGATGTTCATGCTTTGGGGGCATAGTTTTCCCTGTATTTTCTTCTAGTAGTTTTAAAGTGTAAAGTCTAACATTGCTGCCTTTTTGAAAATAAATTGATTGTAAATATGTGCGTTATTTTTATGTTTCTGTTTGGTTCCATTGGTCTGCATGTTTGTTTTTATGTCAATTTCATGTTGTTTTGGTTACTGTAGTACACACTGAGGGAAGATATGGCATTATCCCTATTCCCCAGATTCCTTTGGTGATTTCAAGTCTTTTGTGTTGCTTTATGAGTTTGGGGGTTGATCTAGTTCTGTGATTACATTTTTCTATTTCTGTGAAGAATGTCTTGGTTTTTTTTTATTGTCTTTGGTATTTTTATTGGAATTTCTTTTAATCTCATATCATTTTTAATAGTATGCACTCCGTAACAGTATTAATTTTGCCAAACCATGAACATGCAATGTTTTCAATTTTTTGTGTCTTTTCAATTTTTTCATACCTGTCTTTGTTTTTAGATTTATTTATTTATTTAGTTAGTTCATGGAGATGTAAAGTTAAGGTATAATGATTTTTATTTAATAGTATGTTTCATTTGTTTACTGTATTTTCAGAGTACATGTATTGAAGCCAGAGACAAGATGTTTGTGCCAATTCTGGTAAGTCAAGTTGTTTCAGAGAATTATTTCATACAGTACTTTTGTAGCTATGCTTTCAGTCGTTTATGTTTTAATAGGAATTTTAGTGATTGTAAGATAAGTAGTATGGAATTTTAATGCTAAAAGAGCAGATAAGCTCTCATGTAAACCTAATTCTCTATAAGAGAAAATATAGTGTATGTCATCATTTCCTAACACTTTGGATAACTTCACTGAGTCAGATGCTGATGTTGTCCTTTGTGAAGGACACAGTTTGTCTTAGTGTAAAGAGTAAAATGTTCAGTATGGTCACAGAAGAAATGAGGTAGATTAACAGTTTGAGCTGTAGTTTTATTCCGCGTCAGCCTTTTCTTCTTAGTCACAGCTTGCAGGTTATTTTACAAGCTAAACCCAACACTTGATAACTTTGTAGTTAAACATTAAAAGAATCTACTCATCTTTTATGTAGACTAAACTATTTAACTGTGTAGTTGTAAAGAGATTAACTGGATTATTCTTCCCTCATAGGGTTGAAATTAAAACATATGACATTGAAGAAAGAGACTGAATTTGGAATTTTCTTCTAAAGAGAATGCTAGACAACAACCAAACCTGTACTGTGGGACAGGACTGTGTGCCCTACATGACTTGTGTGGTTCACATGCTTGAAGAATGGTTGGGTGTGGAGCAATTGGAGGACTATTTGAATTTTGCAAACTATCTCTTGTGGGTTTTTACCCCACTGTTACTTTTAATCCTCCCCTACTTTACCATCTTTCTTCTCTACATTACTATTATTTTCCTCCATATCTACAAGAGGAAGAATGTGTTAAAAGAAGCCTACTCTCATAATTTATGGGATGGTGCAAGGAAAACAGTGGCAACTCTGTGGGATGGACATGCAGCGGTTTGGCATGGTAAGCAGGGATGCTGTGGTCTCTGTTGCCATGGTGTGGAGCACTGACACCATGTTTCTGTTTATTGATTGGGAAGTTACTGAAAAATAGATTGAAAGAGTTATTTAAAATTCCTTGTTTATTCTGCTTACATATATATATATATATATATATATATATATATGTCTTTAATTGATTTTTCCTAAACACATTTATTTCTGTTTAAGAATACATAGCACTTTTAATTACTGAAAATTGAAATATGCAAATTGCTATTTAAAACATCTATAAAAATTACTTAAAACTGTCAAAACTTCTTGTTTTCTTCCCATGCAAAGTAATAGCTTTTATTGTGACATTTTCATATGTATCTGTCATTATTCTTTGTTCATACTCATAGTCAATCTTTTTCCTCTCCCCATTTCCACCTCCTTTTTGACTCCTCCCTTTTAAGCAGTCCCTTTGCTTTCATTTCATATATATTCCATTATTGTCTTTTGTTCCCACCTTCCTTTTCCCTTCAGATCTCTTCCTCTCCTCATAGTTCTCTTTTTCTATTTCATAGAAGCTGCTTTTCCTTGTTGTTTTTAGATATTTTTTTTGTGTATGTATATGCATATGAGTGAGTGTGCTTGTAGAGGCTGAGGAGGCTGTCAGATCCCTTGGAGCTGAGTTATAGGCTATTATGAGCCACCTAAATTGGTGCTAAAAACTGAATGCTGGTCCTCTGCAATAGCAACAAGTCTGCTGAGCTGTCTTTGCAGACATACCTGGTTTTAATTTTTGAGTTTTGGTGTGAGGGAGGGTGGATCTTGCTGTGTAGTCTTGCCAACCTGGGATTTGCAGTCCTGCTTTGGCTTCTAGAATACTACTGGGATTATAACTAGTGCTATCCTGTTTGGCTAGATTTTTTTTTTTTTTCTTTTTTTAGTTTTACTTCTTAGAGACAGAGTTTCTCTGTAGCCCTGGCTGTCCTGGAAATCTCTATGTAGAACAGGCTGGCTTTGAACTCACAGAGATTCTCTTGCCTCTGCCTCCCAAGTACTGGGATTAAATGTGTGTGCCATTATTACTCTATTCAGAGTCAATTTGTTTCTGCCAATGTGACATTTTAAGAGTGAAATATTATAACAATAGTAAACACTAAATATAAGTTGTATAGTGATATTTACCTATTTGTTGTTTGATTCACCTGGGAAGTTGGTGTATCTTTCTAGATAAGTGAGATGCAATACGCTTCTCTCTAGGAAATTTACTCTTTCTTTATGACTTCAGTAGCTGTGATGCTGTACACTTAATGATCGGAGGCTCAGTTTTTGGCCATCATGAAAATTCTGATTGTTTTCTAGGACTTGGTGGATTTCTTGACCAATTTTTACTTCATTTTTCAGCCAGTCCCTTATTTGTAGATAGCTTGCATTTGGACTATGTCAAAATGCCAAAGATTTGATCCATATGTGCCTCAAAGCATTTTGTTTCCATAACAGAATACCTGAAATTGGGTAATTTATAAATGGCTTAATTCTGAAAGTCTCATGCAGCTTTGTGCATGGAATAAAAATGGAAGGGCAAGCAGGCCTCGAAAAAGAAAAAGAAAGAAATCATAAAGGGTAACCTTACTTTAAGAGCCTGCTATTTAAAAAAATAATTACTAACATGTTACTATACAAGTTGGGATCCACTGAAATATTTCCATGGGTGCTCACATGTACATTAATGTCCATCTACCCTCCTGCTCCTCCAGTCTCTAGTGGCCATGTTCTATATATACATAAAATAAATAAATCTAAGTTTTAAAAAAAGATGAAGGAAGAAAGGAAGAGAGCTCTTGTTCTTTAGACCATTTACAGTTGTTTGGTTTGTTGTTGTTGATTCTTTGGGCCTCATATGTTTTAGAAGTCAGTTCTGGATGGTGAATGTTTTCTCATTTTGTAAGATTTCTCTGAACACTGTTGTTTCCATTGCTCTGAAGAATCTTCTTAGCTTGTAATCACATAGCCTACTTTACTTATGATCCTGTTTTAAAAATTAGAAACTAAATGATTCAAAGTAATTTAGTTCTTAGAGTAAAACTTGCTTATGGGAGCTGCTTTGATCTATTCATTAGGGTGTTGCCCCAACATCTAACCTCTCAGTAGACCCCATTTCTTATAACTGTTGCATTGAACAATTCAACCTCAGCATGTGTTTTGGTGAGAGTGAAACCACGTTTGAGCCAAAACAGCATGTAACAAGGATCTCTCTCTCTCTCTCTCTTTTTTCTAGACAACCCAAAGTTGTTTCAGAGCAGAGGTTTTTTGTTTGTTTGTTTGTTTTTTGTTAATTTTTTTGATTTTATTTATTTATTATGTATATAGCATTCTGCTTCCATGTATATCTGCACACCAGAAGAGGGCACCAGATCTCATAATGGATTGTTGTGTGCCACCATGTGGTTGCTGGGAATTGAACTTGGGACCTCTGGAAGAGCAGTCAGTGCTCTTAACCTCTGAGCCATCTCTCCAGCCCCTGTTTTTTTTTTTTTTTAAGACAGGGTTTCTCTGTGTACTCCCAAGTGTCCTGGAACTTGATATGTAGACTGAGCTGGCCTTGAACTCACAGAGATCCTGCTGACCGAACAGTCTTTGGAATAGACACATGGTGATACACATCACTGATGTATGCTGTCATTAGGAAACCTCACCATCCATGTGCCTCTTAGGCTAATGTATTGGCATAACATTCATTTAGCATTCATATTAACATTTAGCATTCATACTAAGTATCTATAAATCCTCTATAAATCCTCCTTTTTGAGTGCTTATCATTTCAAACACTGTTAAATACTTTTATCCACTTTGACTTTTCTAAACCTTATATCATGAAAGGGCAGTGGTGGCACATGCCTTTAATTCTGGTACTCGGGAGACAGAGGCAGGAGGATCTCTGAGTTCGAGGCCAGCCTGGTTTGCAGAGCAAGTTCCAGGATAGGCTCCACAACTATACAGAGAAACTCTATCTCAAAAAACAAAAAAAAAGAAAAATACCATACATCATGATAGATAAAGTTTATATACTATCTTCATTTTACTCCTCAGGGAATGGAGGCTCAGAGAAGTTATTTCAGAGGTACATTAGGAAGCAGAGTGAGGGTACAGTCTTTGACAAAGGGTTCTAGACTATACATACAGTACACCAGTCCTGCACTGAGGATTCAGGGCTAGAACATGTGGTGATGAGGTTTGCACACAGGAATTATGCTTTTGATGCTGTGAATTCTTAGTGTTTACTATTAAAAGTCTTCTGTCCAGTACAGATCTCCAGCACCCTCAGTGTTTTACACAAAGCAGTAAGTTAGCATGCATGTGCCTGTCGCAGAATTGCAACTTGATAGTCTTTAAAACAGTGACATTTATTGAAATTATTTATGATAGGTGCTAGGAATTTACATCTTCCTCCAATTTATATATCAACTTACATTTCAAGACATATTTTAAACAATTTGAATTTATATATGAGTGGATAAGACGATACAGGTAAATTTAAGTACTATCTTACACAGGAATTTGCAAGATAGTTTTAGATGTGTATTTGTGGTTCAGAGGAAATGAAGTATTCAGCACTTAGTCCACTTTAATGTTTTATTGTGATGAGATATTTTATCTGGGTAAGTGTTAAGTTTTTAAAAAGTTGATCTTGTGACATAACTAAAAGTTATTTGTGTCTTCATTTGGATTTTGTTTTACTCAAATAAGTTTTAATGTGTGCTTTTTAAACTTCAGAAACGTAAAAGAAATAACATGATTGTTGTAAAAATATAATAAAAGAAAAATTTAGCTAAAATTTAACGTGAAGATGAACTTTGCTAAAATTTTGGTCTACTTATCATTCGTATATGTGTGACTAAATAATGCCTTTCATGCCATTAATATGAATATGACTTTTAATAATTTAGTAATTTATTTAGTTACCTGTTGCTGAGCAGGTTTTTGTTTATGATGTTTTTACTACTTAAAAATATCTTTATGCTAGAAACTATTCAGTATTTCATATTTTGTAGTTAAAATTTATCCTCAGATTGTATATACTCTGATATTTCAGAACATTCTGTGGTTCCCTATTCTATACAATGAAGCACCAGTTTGAAGCTTTTTAAATAACTCATTTTAGTTTGGTTGGCAGAATCAATGATGTTTCTACCCTCAGGTGGCTAACAGTCTTTTAGCTCAAACCTTTTGCTCAAGTTTTAAAAGGCATTCTTGGAAAATGGGCCTGGTGTTCTTAAAATTAAGCGAAGTTCTTATCATTTATTTACCTTGAAAATCAGTAATAAAGTCCTCAATAGATATTTTATGTTTTTAAAAAAATTAAACAGTGAGGTACACTGTTGGACAGAAATGATCCCTGAGTATATTCACAATAGGACCCCAGTTACCCTATACACATCAGCAAGAAAATGTAGGTGTATTCACGCTTGGCAGTGAAATATTTGTGGGTGAGAGTGTGCTAGGATCCTACTTATGCTATACACACATCAGCAAGAAGATGTAGGTGCGTCCATGCTTGGCAGTGAATCATTTGTGGGTGAGAGTGTGCAAGGCCATGAGTGTGGGGAAGCTAAGTCAGGTTTCGAGGGATCCCTGATGGCTGTCCTCAGCTGCTGAGGCAGCCCTAGCCCAGGGCCTGCTTCTCCGCATTTGGCTCTAACCTCTCTCTCGTACCAGCCCATGCTGGTATGCATTCAGTCCTTGTTTCATTCAGGCCCATGCCTGTATGTGTGCTGTCTGACCCTTCACCATGGGCTGGACTCCTCGCTGCTGAGTATTGTCTGTACAGCTCTGCTCCGCTTTGACTGTCTCCTGGACCCCCTTGCTGGTGGATCCCCTGACCTTCCTGAACTCCCAACACACACACTCTGCCACCTCTCCACTCAAGGGCCTTGCTTATTCTGTCATGCTTTAAGACTATAGAGCCAAATTATTCTATGTCTGAAAAGAAAGGGAAGCGGGGAGAACTATCCAAAGGAGAAGGGAACCCAGAAGGCCAAGACAGGTTTTAAGTTACTGCATTAAATATCACCAACTTGTCTTTCAAACAGGTTATGAAGTTCATGGGATGGAAAAGATACCGGAAGGACCAGCACTTATAATCTTTTATCATGGAGCTATTCCCATAGACTTTTACTACTTCATGGCTAAAATTTTCATCCACAAAGGCAGAGCTTGCCGAGTAGTAGCTGACCACTTTGTCTTTAAAATCCCAGGTAAAATTTAACTGTGTGTAGTGATCAAACTATGTGGTAGTCTGTCTTTAGTATTGTTTAGAAAGTGTTTTGCCTCTTTAAGATAAAAAATTTGAAAAACTATTATCCAGTTTAAATAATATATCTTGAAAAAAAAGTCAAAAATGTCACCTACTTTTACCTCTGTTACATAAACTGACCTTGAGTGGGTAATCCTCCTTCCTTAGCTTCTCAAGAGTCCTGAATTTCTAGGTGTGGCCACCACTGCTGGCTCTAATTATTCCTCCCACTCTCCCTCCCTCCCTCCAATTGCAATTATTCAGTTATTCTCTTCTTCCTCTTTTTTTTTTTTTGGCTGTGCTGGGGTTTGATCCCCAGCAATGAGAAGATGCTAAGCAAATGCTCTACCACTGAACTACAGCCCCCCACCCCCAGCATTAACAGAACTTTAGTCAATATTTTCTAATTTAAAAAAAACTTTGAAAAATTGAGACAGGATGCTGATGGCTACCCAGACTGGCTTTCAGCTTGTGGTCTTAAGTAATCTTTCTGCCTCTGCCTACCAGGTAGGTGGATTGCAGACACATATGCCCCAACAGCAGGCTTAATTTTTGAACTTGGTTTGGTTTTGCTTGAATCTTGAACTTGGTGATGCTGCAGATTGAACACTAGGCATGTGCTCTGACCTTGAACTAGACCCCTAACCCAAATCTTGAACGTTCAAGTATACATAGTTTTGTGTACAAGGTAGTTAAAATTTCATATTTTTATAAGAATGTTTTTTTCTTGTTTAATGCTGTTAAAGTTTAATAGCAAATCAGAATTAGGAAAAAATATACAGGGTATATTTGTCCTCATTATCCTAAAGAGTATGCTTATACATTACATCTCTTCCAGTATATGAGCTGCCTCGTGGACTCAAGCTCTTGAGGTTGAGGACTGCATTTTAAATCTCTTCATAACAGCTTTATAGCTTTTTAAAGTTTAGTCAAATTGTTTAAGATAAAGTAGTTAAAGATAATCATTGAATGAAATTACTGAGGATAAATCTTTTCTGCTACCACTAAATCACTAGAAACAAGCCAGGAGAGTTGATAGTATGTTGTCTGCAGTAATAAAAGCAGAGCTGGCCCAGCAAGCAGACTCATACCCAGCATCGGGTTAAGGACCAGTCTACTCCAGTGCCTTCCATACATATGGTCAGTGATTTAGTGTGTGTTAGAACACCCATTTATACTTGGTGTATATGTTAAACCAGATGCAAGGCTTTTCTTTGGAAATAATGTGATGACTTTGTATAGATTGGGAACAGAGGATGTTACAATCTCATCATACCTAGTTATTTTGATATTTGAGTGACAGATCTTCACATATTTACAGTTCTGTGGGTTTTATGCCCCTAAAGATTTAATGAAAGCATTGCTATCTTACAGTGCCTCAGTTTTAATATGTGGTTCAAGTGTTTACTTCACTGTTGCTCTCTTATGGAGCATGGGTTTGCTTTTTCTTTTCATAAATAAAAAAACCGGAACATTTTTAGGTTTTTCTTTTTCTTTTTTTTTTTTTTTTTTCCTGGTTTTTCGAGACAGGGTTTCTCTGTGTAGCTTTGGAGCCTATCCTGGCACTTGCTCTGGAGACCAGGCTGGCCTCGAACTCACAGAGATCCGCCTGCCTCTGCCTCCCGAGAGCTGGGATTAAAGGTCTGCGCAACCAACGCCCGGCTCCATTTTTAGGTATTTCAAAACAGTTTTTCCTCTATGCTCATACCAACTTTTGACATTGATTTACTTTTAGTCATTTATTAGTTTATGAAGTTATAAAATCAGTATAATTCTTAGTGCAAGAGAGAAATTCTGTATTTTACCTTGTAATTTACCTCTCTCCTGTTTACTCTGAGAGTGCACCTAATTAGGCCAGTGAGGTTTTGGTGCAGGGTTAGCACTATTTCACTCTTACTGACATTTTTAATATTGTTTCAGCTCTGAAGGCATTGGGAAGCTATGTTAGTCTGCTGTCCAGTTCCACAGACAATCCATGGTCTCAGTCTCAAGCAGGAAAATACATGTACAGTGGCAATCACATTGAAGTATTTCTTTATTGACAGGCTGTCTTTCATGAAGGAATAGTCATAGTTTGAAAAGCTATATAATGTTAAGGTTTGGAATTAGCTATTCTTGAATTGAATACCCTTCCTCAGTTGATTAAAACTCTCAGTGATATTTGCTATTATTATAAAAATTAAATTGTAGGATTAATATTATCTAACTTCTTATCTCAATAGATTTGATTATAGTCTTAGCTAATTTTGGTGTGGCTGAACATAGTGGGATTTACTTTCTCTCAGGTGGTTCTTTGTTTAGGATTATTGGGAGATTGGGTTTTTGGTTGCTGATGACGTTTCATCTCTGATTGAGAATATATATGGCATGAAACTTAGTGGAAGTACTTGGGACTGGACATAGCGCAGTGGGAACACGTCGGTGTATGACTTTAAATATGCTGCCTAACTTTTTTTTTGAGACAAGTTTCTCTGTGTAACTCTGGATGTCCTGGAACTTGTTCTGTAGACCAGGCTGGCCTGAACTCACAGAGATCATCCTGCCTCTGCCTCCAAAGTGCTGGGATTAAAGGTGGAGTGCTGGGATTCAAGATGCATCACCACTGCCCAGTTGCTACTTAACTTTTAAGCCCAAGTTTTGTCATCTGTAAAACGGAGTGAAAAAATCTCTATTTTTCATGATGGTTTTAAGAGTTTGAAAATGTCAAGTAGCTATAGTAAGGAGGCGATCAGCCAGGAAGTAATCAATAGTAGGTGATCATATGTATATATAACTTCATAAATGAAACTGGACTTGTACCTTAAGAGTTTTTGACTTAAGAAAGTTTGTAAAAGGATGGGTAGTAAATAAATGGCATAGATCATGATGAGTTTTGCTCTTAAAGAATTGAACACACTAAAGATATATCTTTGTGATTTTGTTTTTTGACAGGGTTTAGTTTATTGCTAGATGTATTTTGTGCTCTTCATGGACCAAGAGAAAAATGTGTTGAAATCCTGAGGAGTGGCCATTTGCTAGCTATTTCACCAGGTGGAGTCCGAGAAGCCTTACTTAGTGATGAAACCTACAACATTATATGGGGTAATCGTAAAGGCTTTGCTCAGGTTGCAATTGATGCAAAAGTGGTAAGTCAGAGCAAAGTAATTTTTCAAAGAAATGCTTAAAAAGTGAGCCAAAATATATGAACCTAGATTCTTTTATTGTAATAGAAGTTACCATATGTAACAATTTATAGGGACTATTATGCGTGAGAAGCCATCTTACAAAACAAAAAACTGACCTGGGAATTTATACAGTTTTATTTTTTTAGTTGTAAATTCCACTTTTTATTAGATTTGTAATTCTGTGCACAGTGCCACCATTCTTTCAGTTTTTTTTTTTTTTTTTTTTTTTGATACAGTGTATTTTAAACCTTTGGTAATTTGACACAAATGTGTTGGTGTATTTCATGGATGAATTTGGTTTAATAGTTCTTTTATGTGTAATCAGTTTTTATAACAATACAAGTAGTATGTGATTAATGTCATTTTTTCATCAAATATGATTAGCTATTTCATAGTATAATTATAAGAAATGGACAGTGGTATAATTTAGATATTTCTAAAATACTTTTCAAATGACTTCATCAGTAAAATTAAACGTACTTGGGAGATTCTATAATTATTGTATTTCCCATACTGAACAGTATGAATGTGCTTTTGATGTTTTCTTTTGCCTTTGGAAAGTATTTTTTAGTCTTTTGTTCTCCATAGCCTAAGGAACTTTATCCTAAGGAATACTTATTGTCAGAAGGGGACATTGCTGTCTTTTGCTGGAAACTTGGTCTTTTCTCCAAGCCAGGAGGTTGAGTCAGCTGCAGTAACTTAGCGTTTCAGGTTGCTTTCCTTAGGGAGACCAGCCTGCATCATTTGTCTGACTGTGCATCATGTAAATGTAGACTGTTGATTAAAAAAGGAAGAATTGTGATTCATTTTAACCAAAGAATACTATCTAAAGGGGAATGGATGTTGCTGTATTTGAATTACAAAGTTACAGCAAGACAAAATACTCCAAAGAGCTCAGTAGCTCTTTTCTCTCCTGTATGCATACACCTGCTTTTGTGTGACTCCCAGAAGGCATTGCTATAGTGCTTTACTATGGGGTCCTAGTTTAAATGAATCTACTTCCTAACTTTTAAAATATGTGTTCAAGCAATACAGTCCTACAGTAGACTATAAGTTCCTTGAGTAACTTTAAATTTTATATTCAAATCCTTAGTGCAATGGGTTTAAGTATTTGTTGAATTAGCTTTTTTTGTCTTTAAACACAGATTACTTAACTCAGCAAAAGCTTTTTAATTTATTTATGCATATGTTGTACTAGTAATGATTAAAATCGACTAATACCACATTTTACCCATTTTCTAAAGTTTTAGCAGCACAGATGTGGAAACCAGAATTATAGACTGTGGGGATATATAATACAGAAGGCTGCTTGCAACCATGTGCAACTAAGAATAATCAATGAATATTTTAAAGCAAGAACAAAACAAAACATTGACCTGTTTTACATTTATATTTTGAAAGATTTTTTTTTAAGTAATAGTTTTGAGTCTTATAAGTTTATCAAGGAATTCTAATTCTTCATCCTTATGTTGATAATTTTAAGGAGGATATTGCTTAGGGTACCTGAAAGAGAAAAATGACAAGAACTTTCCCAGATTCTTGAATTTCTTGGTAACTTTTTATGATAATCTATGTATTTCAATTAAGATTTTTTAAAATAAAATTCCAAATTTTTGAGAAATAGCCTTCTATAAATTTAAAATAGATACCAAATTTTAATGCTGTGAATTTACTCATCAGACTATAAGTCTGATAAATAGTTTGCAGCACTTTTAAGTTTTGTTCCAGGGCTCTGCCCAATCAGGGAGTGATGTGTAGTATTCTAATTCAGTGATTCTCAAACTACCTTTGTCAGGAGTCACTTAAGACCATCAGAAACCACAGATATTTGCATTATGATTCGTAACAGTAGCAAAATTGCATTTATGAAGTAGCAACAAAAATAATTTATAGTTGGGAATCACAATAACATGAGGAACTGTTAAAGGATCTCATCGTTAGGGAAGCTGAGAACCACTGTGTTACAGCACCCTAGCATTAGGGAAGCTGAGTTCCACTGTGTTAAAGGGTCTCAGCATTAGGGAGGCTGAGAACCACTGGTCTAATGTTATGGATAAGGAGACACAGGCCCTGAAAGCAAGGGATGGGAGGGATCTGGTCCCTACAAGGCATCAGCAGAGCAGAGCGCAGTTGAGGCAGCAGTGCTGGTGCCATCCCTGACTGCATTTCACATTGAGTGTGGACACGGAGATTGAAGGAGCCTTCTAGAAATGTTGTTATGCCAAGTTTGTGAGACCCCAAAAAAGACAACCAACAAGCTGACTTACTGATGCAAATGCACAAGTTTTAATTTTAAGTTACAAGACTCATCGGGGACCCTGTCCAGCAAACTGGCACAGCAGCTGCAGGAAAAGGGTCCTGGCCTCAATTGTAAGAGGTTTTTAAAGGAAAAACACTGAAAGCATGGTGGTACATGCCTTGGCCATTCAGGATTGGGTAAGAGTAGGTGACCTTTGGACTCATTGACATGGGGTCTAGAGAAATTTCAAAATTGTTACTAATAGTTGTCCACAAGGACAGTTGTGACAAGAAGATGTTATTTATCAAAATTAGTCATTGCCTGACCACCCAGATGGGGTCACTCTGTCCCGGGTGGGTACAGTTTGGGTGCTCCTTGGAACTGTTTATGGTTCCTTGGTTGGAGCTGAATCAGTCTTGTGCCACAAACAGAATTTCTGAAGGTGGATTTTTCTGAGGATGGAGTTAACTCCATCCTTTCTAGTTTACCTTGCTCTTACAAATGTGAAGGAAAAACCTTATACAGTTGTAAATGATAACTACCTCATAATAGACCAAACCAAATTTACATAAACTATGAGAAAACACAACTACTACGGCAGTAAGATTAGCTACATTTAAAAAGGGACTGCTGGGCTGAGGCTATAACTTGGAAGAGCGCTTGCTTGGCATGTGCCAAACTTTGAATATGATCCTCAACAATGCCCTCCCCAAAATACCTTAAAAAGTAAGCTGGACATGCTGAAAGAAATTAAAACGGGAATCTAATTGTAGTTCATAAAATATCAGCAGAAAATATCTTAGGGCCATTTGAATGGGACACACTTTTTTTTATTTTATCTTTTTACTCTTCTCTCATATTACATCCCAACTGCAGTTTCCCTCCCGCCACCTCCCTTCTCCCCCAGATCCACTCCTCCTGTTTCCCCTCCCTCCACTCCTCCCACCCACC